ACCTTTCAAGAATATTGACAGCTCGATACTCAATTTTGTCCATTTTCACAAAAAAAATCTGTCAACGGATGAACAACGAAATTCACTAGCTTTTAATTACGAGTGCTGCCATCTTCACATTGAGGTCGGAAACTATTCAGCACCCTCGTATGCGCGTAAAATGACTGGAGTTGAAAGCGTATAAATACACTGGGCTAAAAAATGATATATACCCTCCCCCATCCTCTACAGCCCCTACAACATTTTTCTAAAGACGAAGTTCGAGCGATTTGTATTACATTCCTGTTTTGCCTCTAGCTCCACCGCCATTGGACCGGTTTTCTCTTTAGCATATGTCGTAGTAACCTTATCTGAAAATTTCATCGAAATACGAGCAGTACTTCCCAAGTCCCAGGATTATGGAGGTCAACCTACAGGCAGAGCGATGGAAACAAATAACGTGCCTTGTCGTGATGTTCATGTCATATAATATTCAAAAACTGTAATAGGTATCCCATTTTCGAAATTTTTCGCGATTAAAATACGTCCTTGCCCAAAGGCGAAGGAAGTAAAACGTATAATAAAGTCCACACAAGGTAATTGCCCTTGACTTGTTAGTGTTTGTCGAGTAGTAAAACTGTGCAGTGTTTGTTACTGTTGAACTAACATAATAATATGATCATCCTTTTGAAAATCGTTAGCCAAAAGGTCATTTTATAAAGTTTGTCTGCTCAGCGGCCATTTGAAGGACGTTCTCCCCAGATATGTCCACTTGCACGTAGTTCATGAATAAATTGTTACAACGACAAATATTAAGAACCCCGGGAAGTAATGAAAGACCGATTACCATCCTTACAACTCATTAAAGTTAGTCGGCTAATGGTGTTTAAACTACAGGTACTTAGGTATTCAGCAACCCAAAAATTACAGGCAATTTAATGTTAATTGTTTTGCGATTATACAATTGTGGAGCGTTCGTTTGTAATTTGGTGAGACCTTGCGCACAAAGTTATGCTTGAAAATTTCATTCACAGAACATACGATGTATGAGGAGCAAGAGAGTCTTACAAATGAACTTGCAGTTATTCATTGACAATATGGACAACGGATTCAGAAAATACTGTGTAGCTTTGAAGAGGTTCGAGTTTCGAATCAAAGTTAATCTTCACCAAAATAGGAATTAGTTGTCTTGCATAAATTAATACTTTTTTGCTACAGCAGGAATTTATAAAAGTGTTCTGAGTCACCGGTCGACTGTCAATGAATCGTAGTGGTATAGATTATGAGATAGCGTGTGATATTTGATAAAATACTTTTCTGAATGCTGATTTGAAATATATTTGATATATTGCAAGACATGCTTTTTGATGTATACGTTATATATATAAAATATATAAATCAGATGTAGCATGCTGCCTTCTGATGCAAACCTTCACACTACGGTATCCTAGAGAAGTATTGGAGATGGGTCGCTGACTTTCTCTCCTCTTGATCCTGTAGTAGCATTCCGCGGAGATCAGTCTTGGCTCCACCTATGTTTCTGTTACATATTAATGGCCTCCTTTCCTATCCATAAGACTCCAAATACAAGCATTCAGAGTACCAAGCCTATCCCTGCCGCTGAGCTGGAGAGAAAGAGATTAGTAACCACTTCCTCCTTGAGGACAGTAACATGGTACAATGTTTCCAAAGCACAGTAACAGCACTGTGGTATAGGTACACGTATTGACTAACAAGAAGCGCGCTAGCGTACATCCGGCTTTGATGAATGGCCTAGCTCTGTCAAGGAACAGCTCGCGGTTGGTTGGAGCACTCTGTGCAAGGCGCTGCTAAGATTCAGACTCGAATACTGCTCACGTGTTTGGGGTGCTGTCGCTCCGACTACACTGTCGATACTGGATACCTTATAGAGGAGTGCGGTCCGACTGAACAATGACACTTATCTAACGAACGGCTTCAAGCCTTTTCACAACGACAGGCGGTCGGCGGTCTGGCTCTCTTCCACTGTTATGCCAGAGTCACACGGACCGGTCAGGCTTCAGCTTCCCATCCTAAGTCTGTGGAATCGGCACATCTGAAACTGGTCGGTACGACCGATCCTTTTTTTCTAAGGTGTCGACATTCTGCTTGAGAAAGCTTTTCCCAGTTCCGCTAATCTTAGGCTGTTAAAAGATCGAATTAGCAATTGCCGAGATCAAGAACGAATTCCGACAACCTAATTTGAGTTAGAATTGGAAAATCTCTCAAAACTTAGTTGCCATGCAACTTTGGTCCAAGAATGGAAAAAAATGGTTTTTAAATTTCCTTAATATGTGTCAAGTTAAACTATTATAAAGTTACTCGTAGATATTTTGCGAAGTTTTTTCTAATAAAAGCAATATCAACCCTATTTGAAACAAAGTTTAAGAGTTGATTCGTCATTTTTCTAAAATATATTTATATGCTAAGATTCCTTGAAATGTTGGTTCCTCTCAACTTACTGTAGAAGAAGCTACAAAAATGCTGTGAAAGGAAAAAATGGATTATACTATGAATAGTAGGGATACCAAAATGCCTGCCGGATACGCTTGCTGTTTGCTTAATAATATTATTAATATTTACAGGCGATTCATATTGTAGGAAAGTGAAGAAAGAGGCAGTGTGCTACATAATAGTTTAAATTTCATTTGATTTAATTTTAGACAGGACCGGCTCTAACTTGACCAATGCCTAGGACCAGATTCCTGTAGGGCCTCGCCTGGTACTAGGGATGTGGGAATGACTAACGGAAAGTAGATTTTTTATTTTGCAATATCAATCAATTCGGGAAAAAATCGATTTTGTCTATAAATAGACAAACTGCTGAATATCTGAATATCAAAAAACAACCAAAACGACAACCTTTGGGTTTCAAAACTAAAAAGTTCTTGGATTGATGAGGAAAGTGCAATATTACTTTTCATCGCAATAGACCCATTGAACTTAAAATTAGGTACTGTTTTCAAAACTATAGCGTGTTCTATTTGATACCTATATTGAGTGGATTGATAAATCTGTAATACTCTGAATTTTGGTAGCGGCAGCCATCTTAGAATTGATTTTTTGTGATATATTGTATTCTTTTATTCAAGCCCTTCCATTTAACACCCATATTGAGGGAGGTTGGTATAATAATTTCTAATGCGCCATTTTGTAATGGCACTCATCTTGGATTTTACATTTTTCTTATACAATGTACTGCATTTCGCCATTTTTTGGTGGCAGCCGTTTTGGAAATATCATATCAGCCAAGATAAAATCGTTTAAATTCGCTTAAACATAGATGGCGTCATCTATCTTCATGGCGATTTGTTGTATAGATGGCGCTGTTTACAAAAATATATTAAAATGGTTAATATATATCACTCGGAAGATGGATTATTGAAAATCGACTATAAGGATCCATTATCGGATTATCTTTTTAACATTCCTACTTAGTTCCTCATACTTTATACATAAAAATGTCAAATTACATTGCAAATTGCACGTTTCCACATCCAAAACCGCATTTATAAAAAAACAAATTGTAGCTGAAAATATACCATTTTGTGCGAGCTGTAATGTGGTGCAGAATCTCAGTAGGGGATATACTGGAATTCATGAATTTGCTATAGAATCATAGTTCAAAGTCGGTAACTCCGTTGATTTTGTTTACTAGGTGCAATGGCAGCGGCGTTTCAAAGAACCTCACAACATTCTCAAACTCCTTGTTGCTTTTTGGATTTCTAAAAACAACTCAAATGTTCTTACTTCCCAAGATTGGCGAAGGCATCACAAAAAACTACAACATCCATCTTCGCTACGTCGGCATGTGTCTGTCGGGTAATTGGGGCCCTCGAGAACTAGGATGCGAATATCAATAATCTTTGGACACAACTCACTATCATGTCGCGGACGCGAAAGTTTTGAGGTTTTGAAGATAGGTTAAGTGCTGAGGGAGCTAAACGCGAAAAGCTAATTATTCAAAAATTTCTTCAAACTCCGTTTTTTTGGTGTTTTCCAAGTTTCTCATGAATTTTAGGCAAAGTGAATAATTCCTTTATGTAGAGGACATATTTAAAATATTCCAAATTTTCGTTTTCTTCTGGTCATAAAACGGAGAACTCAAAAGAACATATTGGCGCATACTCTACAGCATCGGACTCCACGCCAAGCACGTTACAAGGCCGGCTAGGCTGCATGCATCGCCATGTCGTCTCCTGCTCCACCTTCCTGGTTTGGCATTGGTCCTTTATAAGATCCCGACCGATTCTGTCCGACAACATTTATGATCATCGTTTTTGAATTATATCAACGTGCCAATCGCCCTGATTATTTTTTTAATGGACTTCAGCACGGTTCACAAAACAAACCTTGAGGTGACAAAAATTACTTCTCCAACTAATAGTAAGGATAGGATTAGGCGGGAATACGCTTCTTCGCCTAAGGGCCGATTAACGCATTTTCAGAATATGACACACAACCTTTAGGCCACAGTTAGGTAGGTAAATTACAGAGGATAGTTACACAGAGGATATCTAGCTGATCAAACTAAAATTTTAACCCAGACATTTTTAAAAAGTCAGTTATCTAGCACGTAACATCAAGGGTATTCATAAAATGAGAAGAACATTAAATGGTGTAGTGAGGCCCAAGCCAACGAAATTATGGTATAGTCGACCTCAGTATGGTGAAAACTTGAGACAGTCAGAAAATAGATGATTCAAGTTTCCCTCAACGTTGCAGTGTTCACATAAGTTGGAATCTAGCTAGATGTATTAAGCTCCATGTCCAGGTTTTGATCTAATAATCATAGATATGCATTTACGAGTAATTCTAAAATTCGTCTGTTTATATAATTACTGTTCTGGTTTAATGTCTCTCTTGAATAACTAGACTTTAACTCCTTCTACCAAATTCGAATTCGTTGAGAAGTCAATTTGTTTCACCCATTTTTAAAACACCTCGACTCCGACCCTGTCTACAATCATCAATGTCCACACACCTGTTCGATTGTCTTTCAGGCGATGACCGTAGTGGACTTCTCCCATCCCGAGACGCAAGCGGTAGCGGCAGTTGCTGTGGTCGGTGTGTTGACCGCTATTGCCCTATTGAAACTGTACGCGTACCTCAGTTGCGGCTATTTCCACGAAAGGGTCAAGATGGAGGGCAAGACGGTGGTCATCACTGGAGCCAATGGGGGTATCGGCAAAGAGACGGCTAGGGAGATTGCCAAGAGGGGCGCAAGGGTCGTCATGGGGTGCAGGAACATGGTCAGCGGGAAAAAGGCTAGAGGTGAGTCTTTTGGGAGATAAAATGGCTGTGGATGTAGTGCTCCTACCAGTTAGACTCACGTTAATATACCGAGTGTTTCTAATTCGACTCTTATCATTGAGATTTTGGAAACGTTAAATGGGCACAGAGATGGGCATTTAGGTAACTGAAAAGTAGCATGCAGGTAGTTTCGCAACTCCGAGTATTTCCGGAGATAGACGAAAGGAAGCAAATTTTCGCAAAATCATCTCTATATTTCCGTGACCTCACTTGAGGTGGGATTTCGAAATAAATAGTCCATTAACATTGCCACCTTTTTTTCTCGACAAGATGGCATAATTAGAGTTCCGATAAGACGTTTCGTCTTTTTTCCTTAATCATTAACTTTACTTTTTATACACGATCCATATTAGATTTCTTCAAGTGTGAGTAGAGATTTTAATTTTGATTTAAAAAATGTGTCATGCACCGACAATCGGGCATCGATCAGTATGCCTTGAAATTGGCAGCTGGTCATTTGCTTCATAGTATCATCAGCCAAGCGTTCCTTTAGTTTTTGTGAACCAGGCATAGGAGAACATCCTCTATTTCCAATTTTACTGATGTGATATTGTATACAGGGTGTCGCTTAAAGAGTGGATCACCTTTAACCTGCAGTTAGAGGACATCATGGCGATTAAAAAAAAATTGAAAATTGTGTCTAATAAAAGTTGCACGGTTTTCAATTTTTGTGACTTTTTTCAAATTTGGAGGCAATGAGCATCTTCATTCTTCTTTCAACATAGCATTCTTGGATAAGTGTGTCATAAAATACAAATTGCTATTTTCGTGATACAGGTTTAATTGCTTTTTTAAAAAATCATCAAAAATCGAAAAAAAAAATGTGGCGTGCGTTATCGTACCTTTCCCGATAAATAAAATACATTTAAGCATATACCCTTGGACTGTACTGAGACATTTCCGTTCGCAAGATTTAGCTATTCACCAGATGGAAGATCTAAATCACTATACAAAACCACTGCGTGCGGTGAGGCTATTTAGGAATTGTGACACTTGATCTGTCACTATGAAATCAGACAAAAACAAACCAGTAGCTTGCAAATGTGATTTCTCAATATTTATTATTTAAGTAGAAATTGTATTTGAAGAAATAGGAATCTCAGCTTGCAATCTCAATGAATTAGGCAAATTATTCACGTCTTGTTTCACTAGGTGACCGCAATATTATTGATACCAAACGTGGTCAAACTTAAGAGAAAATAAAAATCATTTTTTCCAAAATTAAATGATGTTTTAAAAAAGCAAATAAACCAGTAGGACGAAAATAGCAATTTATATTTTATGACACAGGTATCCAAGAATTCTACGTTGAAAAAAGAATGAGAAAAGCTCAACGAATCAAGAAGACCTACTAAAACTTCTTCATCTTATTTAAGGGTAGTATTGGAAACACTGAAAAGAGTAGTCAGTTATGTAACTGATTTTGGAGTAAGTAAAAGCATCGATGGTGTCGCCAAACCTTCTCAACACAATCTTCATATCACCCTTATATAAACACATTCTGCATTCACATACTCTGGCTAAGGTGTTATGTAGAGCGGCTCGATCGTGCTAAAATCATGCTTGTTATAGTCACTAAGTTATATGAGTAGGTATGCTTTTAACATGCTTTTCAGAAATTGAAGCATTGTTGATTTAATCGGGGTAAACGTGTGATAAACTGTAATTTTCAAAGCGAACTATGAAAATATTCATTTTTGAAGCAACTTAGGTTTGATATAGGTGTATATAGAAACAGAAAACTATTCACCTATGCAAAAATCCAATATGGTGTCTATAAGAAAAAAATAGAGTTAATGACTGCCGACAAGAGATGAAACGTCATATTGAAACTCTAATCATGCTATTTTGTAGAGCACAAAAAGGACAATATTAAAGTAACTTTCATTTTTAAATCCAATATCAAATAAAGCCTGGTAAAAATAGAAACGATTTTGGGAAAATGCGGATTCCTTTGTCTTTTTAAAAAAAGCGACGTGTTCTTAGTTATCTAAATTTAACTGACTTGTATCTCTTACCCTTGCCGAAACCTCAATGACTCGAGTCGAATTTGAAACACCTGGTTTAGTTCTAATTTTTGTTCTCTGGATATTTTAGTTATCATGTATTATAATAGTCAGACAATGAGTTTTCGAAGAGTAAGTATCCGAATCAAAGTTGCTGATTGACAAATTCTCCGTCATTCCAGAATTATCTTACGGTAAAAGCAGCAACGGGCATTTACGTACGAGAAAAACCAATATTTCCATATGTCTGGGAAACAATTAATTTTAAGAAGTAGACAACTTTATGCAAATCTTATTTTCAATGCTTAATGCGATTAAATTATAAAGAAAGTGGTCTCCATTTGAATACATTGACTTCTTGGTAATATAAATTTCAATCTTCACTCTTTTTTTTTTATTAACTTGTACTATTTGTAATTTAAGTTGGGAACAATATCTAGTAAAGTAGGTCTCCAGTTATCTCCAATTATGAGAAATATTAGAAAAAAATTATTATAAATCAATGGCTTGCAATTGTTACCTCTTATGCAAAATATGAGATATCTCAGAAACGGTTACACTTAGGCGTAGAATATTTATATTATCAATAATAATATTTCTTTCTGGTTTAGTAGTTTTTGTTGTAAAACGAGATCATGAAATGTCTTTAGAATATCGCGTGGAGCCAAAAAAATTGAATTATATACAAGGTCTATTTAAAATAAGCAAGATGATATATACTTCCAGTGCAACCGTAAGTGCCACCATCTTTAAAATGTTTTAGCCAAATTGCTTCTTCCATTTATACTATAAACTCGTAACTATCTTACGTCAACTTTTTGGGTAACAGATTGCTGCAGTTCTACGTAGCGCACATACGCGCACGTATATTTTGAAATATTCCCAAATTATTTTTGGTTCCTTCTCGGATAGTTACTGAATTGAGAATTCTTCCTAAATTAATATATGCTAGAGATATTGGTTTTAAGCATTTGAGAGGTGTAAGGAGATATGGCTTCTGTCCATAACTATTCTTTGAGGGTCTATAACTTGAACATTGTTGCCAATCTGCGAGTCTTAGACAAAGTGTTTGAAGTTTGTAAAATCATCTTATTAGTTGTTAAGGAGACTTGAAGAGAATTAAGGGTTTATTTTCTTCATTCATACATTAATCTGTTTTTGAAACAAGTAATAAGAAACCTATAGATATCTTAAAAAGTATTACTAATGGAGAAACAGCATATAGGAAAGAAGTGTAAGAATATTATACTGACAACCCAACATGTATACAGGGTGGCCCATCCATGTGACGACGGAATATTACTCATAAACAAATACATTTTAGGAAAATCTATTAATAATAAATTCTGACCTACATATCAAAGTTGTGATTTTTCAAATGGAATGACTCAAATTTTATTGCATATTTTGATAAACCAATGTAAAGAAGAAGATTGATATAACATACTATGGGGTTTTGGTAGTTAGCTACTGAGATGTAAGGTGTTTTGTCCAGAAAAACCGTACAATTCGACAATCCCTCAATCCGCTATTCTGAAATTTGGAGTGCTGAATTTTGTATTAAAAAAAACTTACACACCTCAGATATTATCTTATTTGTTACTTTTTCGAATTTTGATTTTTGTTCATACAGGGTGGTCAAAAACGCGAATTGTACTTTTTCTCAATAATTTTAAATGCATCACCCTGTATATTTGTACAAGTTTGGATTCAGTTTTATATTCATTTTCAAACACGTTTTTATTATAATGCTGACAAAGCTAATTTTGACAGTTTGTAACTCATCAACAATTTTTTTGTTTCCATGGATGATGCGATATTTTAGAGACTTCAGCCTTCCATAGAAGACGTGCTAATAACCGAAAAAATCGCTGTAAAAACCCTTATGTGTCTAGTATCAAGAAAAGCTTATAAGAAATTGAATCCAAACTTGCACAAATATACTGGGGGATGGATTTGAAATCTTTGGGAAAAACTACAATTTGCGTTTAGGACCACCCTGTATGAGCAAAAATCAAATTTTGAAAAAGTAACAAATACGATAAAAGCTGAGGTGTGTAAGTTTTTTTTGATACAAAACTCAGCACTCCAAATTTCAAAATGGCGGACTGAGGGGTTGCCGAAAAGGAGTTTTTTTCTAGACAAAAACACCTTATATCTCAGTAGCTAATTACCAAAACCCAATAGTATGTTATATCAGTTTTCGTCTTTTAAATTGCTGTATCCAAATATGCAATAAAATTTGAGGCATTCCATTTGAAAAAATCACAGCTTTAATATGAAGGTCGAAATTGGCTTACCGTGTATAATGGCCTATATTTTAGAAATGTGCCCTCAAATGTCATGTATAAATAGATTTTTCCAAAATGTATTTGTTTATGAATAATATTCCGTCCACAAATGGATGTATTTTTTCCGTAATAATATTTGACCGTTTAGTGGCTACTAACCATGTGAATCTTGTGAATTCAGAGATGAAAATTATGTAAAGGCTCCACTGATGACGAAAGCAAATGCGCGTTAATTCGGAAAAACCGGTACCCCGAGGTCCTCAGGCAGGATATAAAACGACAATTTACGAAAAGTAATCACCATATTATAATTATTCTGTGTAAGAATCCGATGCCACTGACCTTGAACGAAATACGTAACGAATTTTAAACACTGTTACCTGTATTGGTCTTCATATTTCTAAAAAAAATGCATACACTCGTTTCCAATTCGTAATGACCTATTTATCAATTAAGCTAACTCATCCTTTTGTATACGTGCGCATCATACATAACTGTATTTTTGTGACTATTTTAATGGAAAGTGAGACTGGTTTCTACGAAATGACTTATATTTTTTCCGAAACACCATTTCGTTGTAATTAATCGTTATGTAAACGTTATTAGTGGGAGTAAACAGGACGCTATTGAAATATCTGGATCTAGTGCTTGAGCCATGGCACAC